AAACCAGGATGAAGAATAAGGAACACAGGGACTGTCATGGCCACGTGGGTGGCTATTGCCTGTCGGAGCAGTGGTCAGATCAAGGAACTTTGTGGTGGTTCAGAAAAAAGAAGGAGGGTGTTAACACGGAGAGAGTGTAGAACCGAGGACTCAGTTTTGACTTTGGAAATTTGTTTTGGGTTCCCCTGGCCCTGTCCTATATAATAAAAGGCTAATGTGCAAATAGACCAAACTGTGGAACAACCGGACAACCGAACAACCGGTCACTATGACATGCGCTGACCACCAGGGGGCGTGTGCAGAACATGGCAGGTTTAAGTTTTCCAAAGTAAAAACAACTCCCTCCCACTCTAAGTAGCTCTTTCCTATAAGATAAGAGCTCCTCATAGAAAATTCAAACCAGAAAGATCCGGTGAAGAAAACAAAACCCTCCCAGACCCTCCCACTGCTAATGCTCTGCTGCTCGCTCACCTTTCCAGATCCGTCCCTACCTCACCCCACAGCCACTACACTGGATGCCATGAGGCTGCCCTCCATCAGCGGTTGCAAGTGGGGCTGGCACCGTCAGCTCATGGGAGTGGCGGGAGCGGGGCTGATGGCAGACAAGGGACTGGGGGCCATGGCAGGAGGGGCTGGGCGGGGGCCTGGAGGATGGGCCGAGACCCACCCCTGTGCCTCCCACAGCCTCACAGCCCACAGTTCCTTTTAGGGTGCATGAATTCGTACACTGGGCCCCTAGTCTGGCATAAAAGGCTCTCTCTGGTATTGAACTGATAGAAGAAATAAAACTTATGTCTGCTTTACACCATTACAACCTGACAATATTTCCAATGTTCAGGGACAGGCTGGCCCCACAGGGAAAGGGAAAACTCTCACTGGAGTGGCCGTGGCACTTCATACTGGTTAAGGTGCTCCCGTGGGCCTGAGTCCGTGTACAGGACCTGAGGTCCTCAACAGAGCACCTACAGCCGGGTCCTCTGAAGCCCATCATCCGGGCCTGGGGGCTGCAGCGCCCTCTGAACATGCAGCGCTGGGGGACGGGCTCCTCTGGGAGGAAACAGGTCAGTGGCCGAGGGACTGGGGTGCAATCTGTGCGCTCAGAATTGAGGTGCTGTGAGCGAGAGGGAGTCCACTGCCAAGCTCCAGACTCTGCTCCCGTCAGAGGAAAAATCCCCCTGAACCATAGCCTTCATTTCTCAGCAGAAATTCAGTAATCCCGTGGGACCACCGTCGAATATTCGGTCTGTGGTTGATGTAAACCTTGTTACGTGACGTGTGACTGCACCGGTCCTACTGCTGTCAGCCCTCTGCCTTGCGGGTTACTTACCAGCCTTCTTTTTCCTGTGGCTCCCGGCTCAGGCTGCCCCTCCCACCCCCTTCGTGATTCATTCGCACGGGGCTTGCATTGCTCCCAGGAGCACAATCCACAAGAACCTGTTCTGATGGAACAGGAACCTGACACCCTTTGACCTTGGCCCTTGGGGGTGTGGCCTGAAACTCCCTGACCAGCGGCTGGGAGCCTGTCCCCGGCCCCCCGCCCTCCCTGCTGCCTGGGACTGGAACTTGGTGACAAAAGTGATTGTGGGCTGAACCTTGGCCGAGAAGGCCCCGCTGAATCCTTCCTTTGTGGTGGGAACGCAGCGCAGCCGGTTGGTTCCCTGTGAATGAATGGAGCGGGGATCCCTTTCCCAGTTATGCAGCTTGGCAGGAAGCGGTTGGGGCGCAGGGAGAATGGTCAAGGAGCCTCTTTGTCGCAGGGGCTGGTCACGCTGCCAGACACCTCGACCGCCGAGAGCTCCTCCCCCAAAGCCGGCTGGGCCCACGCCTCTGGGGCTGTCTTCCAGGGCCACAGGGCAGAGCTCAGGGGCCATGTGAGGTCTAGACCTGATCCCCGGGTTCTAAAGCATGTTCTATAGAATGTCTGGGACTCGGCAAGAAGGGGGCAGAGCTGCTTTCTCTTGTTGGATTTTCTTTAAATCACTGTCTTTACTTCAGGTTCACAGAGACTCCGGTCCAGGTGCGGGCCCGCAGTGAGAACCCACATGGGTCTCAGCCAGGTGGAGCACTCTGATGGCCAGAGCTGTGACTACCTTCCCCAGGACACAGCCCCTCCTCATCCCCCCCTGACCCCCCAAAAATAAAAATCCCTGCTGGCTCTGATTGGCCAGAGAAATGCCTGAGAGCAGAGATAACAGCTGCCAGTGGGAATGGCGGGCTCACAGCTCTCACTCCTGCTGACTTCTACCTGAGAAGGTGCGGGAACCGCTGAAACCTCCAGCCCCACCAGGGAATAGTGCTAGGGTCACCTTCTGGGGTCAGCATGGAAATCGCATTTCATCTGGGCACCTTGCCCATGCTGCTGGGAAATCATTTGCATACGATTAGGTTTCGGGATCCAGGTTCTCATGAAAATTACCTCCCTCCCCTCCTCTCCCCCTCGGTGCCAACCTTGAACTGGGAATTTCCTTCAATTCGCATGGGACGTGGGTTAAACGTTTTAACTCACCAGATAGTCATCCATTTATTCATTCCGTTTACAGACAGTGAATAGGTAGCTGTTACGTTCCCAACACACGGTGCGGGATACGGGGCACACAGAGATGAAGAAGACAGGAGCGTTCTTTCAGGGAGTTCACACTCCAGTAGGGGAGATGGCGAGCCAGAGAGCAAGACTATGTAGGTTGTGAGGGAATGCTGTCCACCCCGGGAAGGGGTGTCACCCAAAGCCTGGGGTGAGCGAGCGGGCGTTGATGTAGAGTGGTCAAGGCAGTCCTTGCTGAGGTGGCAGCATTTGAGCTGAGAGAGAAAGTAGCAAAGAAGCCAAACAGAAGAGACAGCTGGAACAGCCAGTGCAAAGGCCCTGGGGCAGGACCTGCTTGGTGTGACTGAGACACAGAACAGAGGCCGCTGAGGGTTGGCGAGCCAGGAGATGAGGTGTGAGAGAGACAGGAGCCCAATCCAACAGGGTGGGATTTGAAGACCATAGCAGGGGAGCTTGGATTTTATGCTAAGAGGAGTGGAAAGACATGGATGGGCTTTTGGAAACTCCCATCACAGAAGAGAGATGCAAAGTTTAAGGAATAATAAGTCAAAACCCGTGTACCCTCCGCTATTCCCCTCCCCACCACCACGTCTCACTCCCCCAGGGAGAGAGCTGTTATCCTGAGTTTTAGTTTATCATCTTTGCATTCCTTCCCAATGTTACAAAAGTGGACCAATCTATGGTTTGGGTGTGCCTGGTTCTGAACTTCATATAAACGGAATCTTGCTGCGTGTATGCAGTTTGCTTTTCTGTTCAACGTCACGTGTGTGAGAATGGTCCGTGTTGGTGCGTGTAACTGCGGTTTGTCGTTTTCACTGCTGCCTAGTACCCCACTGGGCAACACTGTCACAGCTCATCCTTTCTCCTGGAACATGACCTTACTTGATTTTCTAACGTGGAACCACCCCTACGTTTTGGGGACAAACCCAATTTCATTGTGACGTAATATCTTATTTTAAAAAACATTGCTGGATTCTGTTTGCTGAGATTTCGTTCAGGACCTTGGTTTCCAGGCGTGGGGGCCAGTCGGCCTGCCATTTCCCTTTCTTGCCTCGTCCGGTTTTGGTTTTGGTATCAAGGTTATACGTGCCGTCATCGTATCACCTGGGGGAGTGTTCCCTCTTCTTTTAACCTCTGGAGCACGTATACGATGGGTAAAACCATGGGAGGGTTTGGTAAATGTAGCCACCCTGTGGTTATGCTTCTGCAACCCCACTTCTTTGGTACAGAATCTTGGCTTCTTTGGGTGCAACCTTCCTGGCACGTACCCCTACCCAAACCCATGCTCTAACTCCCGAAAAACAAAGAAAACGCACGTCTCCCCGTGAGCGCCTCACACTGGGGTGCTCACAGATGACTTAGATGCTCCTCTGATTTCTTACAGGCGGGTCCTTGCCTCGAGGCTTGAGCATGAGGAGTTGTTTTCAGGCCTTCCTGGAGCCCCCCAGGTAACCACAGGTGAGTGCCTCTCTTAACTGGTTAACGATTTTTCTTCAAAACCCAGGCACAGGGTCCCTCACTTAGCCCTCAGGATGGCCTTGAACAGGAGCCATGGAGGGTCCAACTCCAGGGTCCGGAGGTGAACTCGGTGGAGCTGGGACCCCTCGGGTCCTGACACAGCGCCCAGGCCGTTCTGTTTTAGGAACATGTCAGACGCTATGTGGTCCAAATCCTCTATGCACAAAATTAGCTTCTTTCCATATTTTTCAAAGGGAAAGAACGCCACACTAAATATAACACGGTCAGCGAGCCAGAAACAAGATAAACATGGGATCCTGGCTCCAGGGGGTGGTGCCATCGACCAGCAACCTGAAGCTACCGCTGGACACATAACCCTGCCGTGAGCCCCCAAAACAATATCCTTTATTTCATTTTCCTTTTCAAAAAGCAACACGTGTACATTTCTGTTTGGTTTTTTTTTTTTTTAAGTCTCATTTTCCCCGTGAGAAAAAGAAAGGAAAAATCAATCTAATCCGGTCACACAGAGAAAATAACTATAAACATCATGGTGTGTGTGATCCAGGGTTTTGCAATGTGCTGTGATACATGAAGTAGCGTTTCTCAACCTCTTTCCCACTGTCCCCTAAGGACTCGTTATAAACTCTCTTTTTGTAATGCTCTCCTCCCCCCGTCCCCCTCCCCCATGAAATTTTAATACCACAGAGGTACTGTCTGTTTATGGACTGCGGAGGACCAAGACCACTCTAGTGTCTAAGTTTATTACACCATCCCCCAAAACCAAGTTTTTCCCCTTGTGGGTGATCTCACCCCATTCAGAATGCAGACTTTAAATAATATTTATAATAACAAACCTTTCTATAAGAGCTTACTACATGCTGGCCACACCCTGTCCCTAGGTACTTTTACTTACCATAACTCCCCTATGATATGAGGGCTGGAGAGCTTATCCCCTTTTCAAAGTTGTGGAAATTGAGGCACAGAGAGGTTCAGTAACTTGTCCACGGTCACACAGCGAGGAAGGTACAGAGCGAGGATCTGACAGCACAGGCATCCTGGCTCCAAAGTTCACACTTAACCACCAAGCTATGTTGCCTTGCAACAACGCATTCTGATTGTAAAAAAAAAATCAAAATACAGAAATAGAGAGTAAAAGGGACACTTCCCAAGGCTCCTCCTTCCCCAGAAGCAATCATTGTTATAAATTTGGAATGTGCCCCTCATCTGGGATTTTTACACACATTTGTAGATATGAAAATGTACTGTCTCTTTTTTATTTTAACATGAGTAGGATCATCCAGTCTTTTTTCTTATATATTCAAATATACGGATCTGTGTACATAGGCTTTTTAAATTAGCATCACACTGAGCTCACCGTTCTTTTAAGCTTGCTCTTGGACTTTGAAATGCATCATTAGTTGCCTGGAGACCGTAATTTAATAAGCGCATGTTTTATTTCACCAGATCCAGGTTATTGGCTACTTAAGTCGCTTCTAGCTTCTCACTACCGTAAAGCTATGATGGATATCCTTTCCTTACACATAATTCTTAGAAGTGGGAATTGCAGATCCAAAGGCTCTAAATGCTGTGGAAACTTTTGATCCGTAAATGCCAAAATTTACCCTCCAGAAAAATTGTATGAACTCGCCCATCCCAACACCCTCACCCACCCTGGGTAGTATCAGTATCGTCTCTTTTCAATCTTTGACAACCTGAGGCCTACAATGTGTGGATCCTGACGTGTTATCTCTGCCCTGGCCAGATATCTTATCTCATCTCGGGCCAGTTTACTCACTGACCAAATAAGGCAGTGCTTGAATGGAGAATTAACAAGGGGGTGGTGGCCAATGTGGCCCTGATTGCTGGCTTAATAAACACACCATCAGCCTCCCAGGCACAAGGCCGACCTGCCGGGACCTTAACTGGTGCTCGGTCTGTGGCTTTTCCACCTCCTGCTTCTAGCAAAAGCCTCACGCTGCCCCTCTCCGCCACTGCGCCCTCCGCCTCTGCCTGGTCTCAGATCCGTTCGGCAGAACCAGGCGTCTCTAGGGCTGCCAACCCCCTCCTCCTCCCCTTCTCTGGCCGTGGGTGATACTGTGAGAAACCAGTGCCTTGTGCTTACGGTAGACTGCTCCCAGCTGGTCCCACTGTCTGTCTGCAGCAGGACCCCTGTGCCCTGCCTGTCACACACATGCACACTGTGCACATGCGCACAAACATAGAGGATCACACACCATACACATGGGTGCAT